TATTGATGAACGCTTGCAGGCATGCCCTGACGTACAGGAGAAGTGAATGAGTAACTGTGTGTCTGTGCATGTTCGCATACATATTAGTGGTTGCGGACACAGGAGCTGGTTATTAAAGGAGGAAATTAAGCCATAAACAGGCTACGAAGCCGCTGGTCTTATATTTTGCTTGGTTATATGAGTGGCCATTTGTAGAGAATATTTTTTAAATATAGTTTCCAATTCATCTCGCAGAACAAGTGGAGGGAGTTGTTTTGCTGGCATTTTATGATGGCTTGCAATAAGAATTGTGTGTACTGTGTTTCTTTCGAGATGATTAAGGACTGGCAGCCTAATTTCATCACAATTATATGAGTAGGTATCAAATTTCTAGTGAATCTCAAATGGCCAAACGATATTCTAATCCCGGCCGGAGTGGGCGTAATTTTTACGTCGTCCGGTTCTCCTCAGCGCCAGTTGAGTTTTCACCTTAGACCAAACAGAGTGGACACAATTCTTATTGCAGGCCATCATCAGAATCCAGCAAGACAACTATCTGCACTTGTTCAGCGAGATGAAATGAAAACTAGATAAAAAGAATCTTCTCTGCAAATGGCCACTCAAATATGCATACAGGAGCAACGGTTTTGTAGCCAGTTTATGGCCTTATTTCCTCCTTTAATGGCCAACCCCTGTGCCTGATGGGTCGAGTTACCTTGACCAAGTGCCGTGGAGTGTAACGACTAATAGGCAGGCGAATTTGCGCACATGATTGAATATGCTCATATTTACACGCACAGTTACTCATGCAGGCCTGCTGTACATCAAAACATGCGTGCAAAACGTTTATAAATATTTTCGTGTCTTATGCTGCGTGTGCTCATGCCTGCTTCCGTGCTTCTCGATACGCCCAAGTTAAGGCAGGCGCTGTAGATGCCCTTGTTTATGTGCGTGTATTCATGTCTACATTTGCGCACATGCGTGGACATGTGTTTGGGTAAATGTGTTTGGGACATGCTCTGAAGAGACTTGAGTGCACATGCAAGGGCACTTTGCCTGCAATGAATGCTTGCTAGTGGCCGTAGCCACCGCCTCGACATTAGCACCTCTGGAATGCCCACAACTGATTGCCCTACCTCTCATTCTGGATGCTTCACTGACGCGGTGATGTTACGTCTCTAGGGCATTACTCATGTAAGCGTGATTATCGGGCGAAATTTCCCCTCTTCCCTCTTCTCGCCTTTCTACCACATGCCCAAGCTCTCATGTCCCTCGCCTCCGGGCCGTCGGCAGCTGTGCTATGCTCTCTAAAGGCAGGCGCTCCACCCGTTCACCAGTACTTTGTGTGTCCAAGTTAATTTTCTCCTTTTCTACAGGTGCGTTGTGCAGAGGTCTTCTTCACTCGATCAGTAGCCGTGCCATCTTAAGGACTGCAGGTCGGCCAATCTTGCGCACAGTCGGGTTGGACGTTGCCCTCCCCAGTTTGCCAGGCTCCAAATCAAGTCTGGAGGAATAAATAAATCTGTGTTATTCGAAGACAGTCTCCTGCTTGGCTCTTGTCCCACTGGCTTCAATCAAATCTCCACCAATTTCGAGGAAAGCCTGTTCTCTCCTCTTCTGCCGCCCACTTTCTGGGCCGCTAGTACAGCCCCAGAAGGATACAGGTGGCCGGTGAATCATTGTCAGTGTTTCCTTGTTAACAAGCCAGTCGTCCAGCGTCTTCGCTGTCCTAACGCGTTGGCTATTTCGCGCTTTGGAGGAGGATTGCGAAAGAAGAGAACAGAGGAAGGTCATAGGCAGGAGATCCATCCGGCGCTCCCAGCCTCTCTTGGGCACTATAAAATGGAGCGACTGCCAACTCTACCGGCTTACCTAGAGCCATTGCCCACGTCGAAACTATGCTTCGTATCGTGTGGATAGTCTGGTGACATTACAGCTTAAGGGAGGATCATGTAAAAAGATTTTTAGAACTTTTAAGTTGTCATTACTCAATTTGTTCAC